AGCTTCGCTACCCGTCGCACAGGGCGATCTGCAACCGTGCGCGCGCGGAGATCAAGTGACATTTGACGAAGCTCGCGTACGAAGCGGACCTGAGGCCGGGCCGCGGCGGGTCCGACGACGTCGACGTCGATGCAGCGTCGAGGCTTTAGCCGCTAGCGCTGTACGCCCACCTAACAGGACAGCGCTTGCCGTTAATCGTTAGGGAGATGAGCTGCGGCCGAGAGAACCGGGGCCGTTGAGAGGGTGGTGTAGATATTGCAATGTGTGGCTCTGAAATGTCGCAGATGATGTTTTGGATGTTATTTTGTGAATGTCTCCCGCGCTCAAGGCGGTATAAGCAGGCGTGAGAACTTGGCGGAAGTAAAAGAAGCGATGTACGATTAGATTAGTCCTTGTCGGACTTTTCGCCTCTACGCTGGCACTCGATGGACTACGAGGGCCAGAACCACTACAACAGTCGAGGCTGGCAGCAGCAGCAGCAGCAGCAACAGCAGCAGCAGCAGCAGAACTACCCGCAGTTTGGCTTCCAGCAGACGACGACGCCCATTCATCGCTCGTCCTCGTCCCTGTCCCTCAATCTCTCGTCCCTCACAGTCGCTTCCCCCACGAATCTCTCCCCCATCGGCCCCCCCTCGGGCGCGCTGAGCCCTGTAACGCCTATCAGTCCAGCGGGCTACGGTAGCCATCTCCATCCCTTTCAGTTCGGCCAGGGCAGCGGCGGCGGCGGGAACGACTCCCAGGACTCGTACGGCCACGAATCGTCGTCTTACGACTCTGTCAGCGTGAATGTGCCCTCTTCGCCGCGCTCGACAACCTCGACGCTGCCGCGGAAACGCAGCTTTTCATCCGATCCCCCACCGACGCTGAACCCAGTGTCGCGCTCGCACACCCCGAGCATCACCACTCCCTCGCTGCGCATTACCACCGACAGCGACACGCTGTCCCCCCGTCCAGGCTCACCGGTAAGCGCAAACCCTACCAGCGCGGGCTACGACGACATGGACGTGGGCCTCGTGCCGTACGACGCAAGCAGCTCTCCCGTCGACGGCAGCTCCGGCAGCGGCGACGACGCAAGGATCGCCGTCCCCACCCTCGTCCCCTCCATCGGCGTCATGGGCAAGCCCATGGCCACCAACAACTTTGTCACCAAGCTCTACCAGATGATCACCGACGCAAAGTCCTCGCACTTTATCTCCTGGACCGAGCTCGGCACCTCGTTCGTCGTCAGCAACGTCGGCGAGTTTAGCCGCAGCATCCTTGGCAGCCACTTCAAGCACAACAATGTACGTACCCCCGCTTCCCCCTGGGATCCACGCGCCGTGTCATGTTTCTCTGCGTTTTGACATGACACGCCCGCGCGTCCGCGTCCGGCCCCTGCTCACGCATGCTCCCCAGTTTTCCAGCTTTGTGCGCCAGCTCAACATGTACGGCTTCCACAAGATCAACCGCACGCCGCGCGCCCAGCGCACGACGTCTGACGCGCAGACATGGGAGTTTTCGCATCACAAGTTCCTCCGCGGCCGCCCAGATCTGCTCGACGAGATCAAGCGCAAGGCCCTCGAGCCCGATCCGGCGCTCAAGCACCGCGTCGAGCTCCCCGGGGAGGTGTGTCGCTTGGCGCCGAATCTGACCCCTATCCTCATCGTTGTCCCAGGTTGCCGCCCAGCTCGGCGCAATGCGCGAGGAGAACCAGCGCATGTGGGACCAGCTCAATGCTGAGCGCCGCCGCGTCGAGAAGCTCGTGTCCGTCGTGGGCCGCCTCTGGGACGTCGTCGGCAAGGGGTTCGGCCCGGGGAGCGGTTTGTTGCTTTTTAACCTTGTTCCTTGTATTTTCTAATTCGCGGCCGCTCTAGTCCCGCCGTTCCCCGTCGACCTGCTGGAGCCTAACATCTTCGTCACGTCGCCGCGCTACGACCCGAGCCCGCCCGCGTCCGACTTTCATCACGGACAGCAGCCGCACCCCGGCGCGCACTCGCACGCACACGCGCACCCGCACGGGCACGGGCACTCCCACTCGCTCTCGCGCCAGCAGAGCTTCCAGCACATCTCCTTCTCGCGCGGCGAGACCTCGCAGTCGCCGCTGCCCGCGTCGCCCGGGTCCATCACGATGGAGATGTTCGACGAGCCCGAGTCGGGGCGCGGCAGCTCGAAGCGCCAGCGCATGATGTCCGGCGACGACTCGCCGCACTCCGCGCACCCGGGCCACTCGGCGGGCGGCGCGAACGGCAGCCCGCACCCGCACCACGCGTCGTCCGTCGACTCGCTGTCGCCGCCCAAGCCGCGCGCGGGGCGCTCGCGCAGCGACAGCGCGCCGCTGGGGTATGCGATGCAGCCTGGGGGCGTGGGCGGCGGGGGGCTGGGTCCCTGGGGCGCGGGGTCTGGCCCTGCGCCGCATGGGCGGCCGCGTAGTGGGAGCGGGCTCGGGCACATCGGGCAGGGCCCGCGCGGGATCCCGAACATCGGGAGCATGGCGCGCGGCATTGGTGTTGGGGGCCCGAACGGCGGCGGCGGCGGGGTGCCGAGCAACGCGCCGAGCCGCTGACGCCGCGCGGGACCAAAAATGGGTGTGCAGCCCAGCCCCTCCTTTCCTTTACGTCTCTGCGCGGGCTTGTATCTCTTGGACCTCGCGTTTGTGCTTGTGCTTGTGCTCTGTCCCATTTGCTGCGAACTCTTTTTTCTCGTATCACTAGATGGTCTCTCTTCCTTCTCTTCTCTTCACATACCTTTTTATCTGAACAAAAAAGCACCCACCAAACCGCCTGCGCGCCGATTCACTCCTTGATTCTATCACTCCTTCACTCCTGTTTATTATTTTTCTTTCTTCCGATTGCTGCTGTCTGCTTGCTATCGTTTTTATTCCTCCAGTTACTTGACCGACTTGACTACGACTACTCTTACACGCCTGCTGATCGACTCATCCTGTACACCACCGCCCATCGTTCCTTTCCGTTTCGACTCATCATACCATCCAAACACCAACCACATCTATCCCCCCCCCCCCCCCCATCTGCCGCACTGCCCTGCGGCGCATTCATTCCCATTCATCCATCTACATCATCTCACTCTGCGAAATCTCACCCACCCCACCCTATCCCATCCTATCTTTCTTACATATCTGTTGTCTGGGCAGGCTGGCTAGCGGCGGGAACGAATGAAGAAACCCTATAGATATACGTGTACTACCACCGGCGGAAAAAAAAATCAAACAACAGTGCATCGGAATGGAGACAGCGGGATGACGGGATGAATGAATGCTGCACAGAGATTATTGAATCCCGGACGGGTGGATGTCGCGATTGTTTATTGGCCGGCGCAGAGAACGGACTGGGCGTGGAATCAGGGCAGGCAGGGATGACGGGATGAAGACAAGGCACAGCGGGGAATAGGTTATGAGCTAAACTGGACAGACAAGGGGAATGCGAGGGGACAGACAAGAGGAGATCCTAGATTGCGGGAGACTAGAGTAGCGATGAGAGTATGTATGTAGCGAAATGTAGACACGGTGTATGTAGAACCACGAGAGAGACAGGATTGAGAATGACGAGAGACAGACAAGACAGACAAGACAGACAGAACTGACACTGAGAAGAAGCCGGGGAACGCGGGATGTGGAGAGTACATGCGGGAGGCGCGGGATACAGTTGCGATTAAGTAAGGTCAGACAGATATGCAGGGTTCAGAGCGGGGGCAAGAGGGGTCATGGCGCGCGCCCGTTCATGTCGTGCGCGATAAACTCGATGGAAGGTTGGCGCGACAGGCGCGCTTGCTAGAGGTTGGAGATGCATCAGCAATGGTGCTCATCTCTCGTGCGCGCAGAAACGTGCCTCGGGCAGGGGTGGGTGGCCGTTGCCGTTCGATAGGTGGCCGTGTCCGCTGCTGCTGCTGCCGCTGCGCGTACCATTGCTGACGCCGTTCCCGTTGACGTGGTGGCGCGGCGGGACGGGCCCAGCGTCAATGTTCATGGGACCGCCACCCCGAGGCGCGTCAGGCGGGTGCGCCGGGGGGAGGAGCCCGAACATTGATGGCTGGTGGGAGGCGGCGAGGTTCATCGCGTCTAAAAGCAGACTGCATGTCGTCGGCCGCGGCGCGCAGAAACAAAAGCAAGGCACATACTCGTTCTCTGCCTGCAGCTTCTTGATCTTCTCCGTGGCAATCTCCAAATCCTGGTGGTACTCTTGCTGTTTCTGGAAACGCAACGCGCAGGTCAGGTTAGAGGCGGGATTAAATGCTCGACATTCAAAGACGCACTGCAGTGACGCGGTCGTATTTTTCTCGTAGCGCCTGGAATCTGTGCTGCGGTGAGCCGCTGGCAACCCACACCCACGCACAATGGTTTCAAAACCTACTTTTCCTTGTAACGGGAGTTTCGATGCGGGTGCTGCCCATGCTATGCAGGTCAGAGAAAACATCTGTAGCAGCGGCCACCTACGAAAAAGGGAGTGCCTCCTTCGGGGGGCGGACGTGGGGGATTGGACGAGCCGCCATTCTCGTCGTTGACGGAGATGCGAAAGCGATGCTGGGCTGCAGATACGCCCTCCAGGTTCAGAACTTCGCCCGCAGACGGCATTTTGGTCTTCCTCGTTGGCGATCGACGTTACGACTCGGACGTACGGAATGGGATCGCGAACAAACAACCGAAAACACTACTGCCGCCCAAGTGCCGGAAATGGTATATCGATCGGCTTGCCGCTGACCAGCATCGCAAGAGGTTGGCAAGAGGTATTGCCCGGCCCACAACGCATACCACCGTCCTGGAAAGCTTCAGACCGGTCCGTCTGCAGTGGCTCTCGCGGACGAGGACCATCCCTGTCGTTCTGAATGCTGATTCTTTGCCAATCCTTTGCCTCTCAAAAACTTCTGATCTCTATCAATACGCTTTCGACGCTTTTATCTCCATCTCTACCAACACTGCGCTTGGAAGCAACTTGGAAGTCTCGCATTTCGATTTCGGTCCTCACCACTGCCAGGGCCGTATCCACAAGTTGACACACCCTTCCATCGGCGTCATAGCTCAGTTGGGAGAGCAGCAGACTGAAGTTGAACTTGGGCAATCGAGCTGACATCTGAAGGTCCCGTGTTCAAGCCACGGTGATGCCATCGTTTTGCTCTTTTACCTCTCTTGTTGTGGTCAACCACTTGATTTTTGTTTATCTCTCTCAGACCCTCTCAGACCGCCGTGTGCCGCGCCAGGACATCTTAATCCCCGTGTTACCATCGAGCCTGTTCTGTTCCGACTCTCACAATCGGCTCCGCCATTCAATATCGCCGCTGATCGTTTTGTCAATGCGCGAGCTGTGGTAGGTCCCGGCTTTTAACTCCCGTCCTTGTGCCGCCAGTCTGTCCAGAGTCTGTCCACAACCTATGGCGTCCACTCTCTCGTCAAGGCGTTTTCGTATCGGCTCTTTCCGTGTTTCGAGTCAGGCTACGGCGGAGTACTTAGCCACTTGAATGGCGTCCCGCGCCGGGCTTCAGTTACGCGGTGCGCAACCGGCTCCGCAACCCTGGCATCTATGGGAAAGCCAAGTGCGAAAAGTGTACCCCGCAAGTTGCAATTGGATGACATTTCCGCTTGAAATGCCTCAACAATTCGGCTTCACTGTGTGGCAGTCTTCTCAGGAACGGGTTCCCGCATATAAAGCTCTGTCGAGGATTTTATTACTCTCACACCGCCATGAAGCTTTCAGCTTTTATATCTCTCGGAATCAACTTGGCGTTGGTCACTGGTCAAGCCTCCCCCGTCGTGGTCTGCAGCTCCTGAACCGATACGTACCGTACTCTGACACGGCTCTAGCGAGAGGACAAGCGGGCGTTCGCAGTCCTAGACCCCAATGGCCCCTTTCGCAATGGAACCCAGCTCTTCGAGCCCACCCCGAACGTCAATTTGACGCCCCCGTATTTCCAAGTCTATGATGACCGGTTCGATGATATCCTGGGTCCGAATCCCACTATCCGCGTCATCGTAGAAAACGACACATTCTCATTCGCTCACGACGCCCCCATGTGGATTCAGGCCACGAATCAGGTATTTATCACCGGAGGGAAGACGGAGGGACGCCCGGTAATTGATGTCTACCCATCCAATACCACGACCTTGAACTGCCGGTCAGGTCTCGTTTATCAACCTGAACGATCTCAACACCAGCACAACAGGGTTGATCAATTTTACTATCGTGCATAACCTCATTCTCTTCCCGTTCTCGCATTTAACAATTCTTTATCTTATTGCAGGTTCCGCTCAGTGACGATGTTCAGATCAATAATGGTGGGACACTCTTCCGTGGGGACCTCTTGCTTGTTACCACTGGATCCGGCCCCCTTCCCCCCAGCCTCGTCAGAGTAAACCCACAGCCTCCGTTTAACGACACCATAATATTGAACAACTTTTATGGTCGCCAATTCAATTCTCTGAATGACGCCAAGGTGCATCCACAGAGCGGTGCCATATTTTTCACAGACGAGACGTATGTTCATTGCCATTTTGGCGGCGACTTGGTGTTCAACTCTTTGTTTATTCCAGCTATGGATTCGAGAACGGGTTCCGGTCCCCGCCTTTAATTCCGAACCAGATCTATCGCTTCGACGCCGACACTGGCGAGGTACGCGTCGTCGCGGATGGATTCAAACAACCCAATGGAATCGCATTCTCGCCCGATGGCCGCACGGCTTATATGTGCGCCTCTTCCGCTTTTCAAACGTGCTGCCTCTCAAGCTGTTTATAGTGCAGACTCGGGCGAAACGGAGGGAGCACTTGGTGGACTCGACCCCACGCTTCCTGCAACAATGTGAGTGTAACGTATTGACCTGGACCTGCATCGCTTTCAAAGTTGTTCTCATACTTTTACCAGCTACGCCTTCGACCTTATGCCAGAAACACAGACCTTTGTCAACCGCCGGGTGTTTGCGTTCATCGACTCGGGGGTTATTTATCTTCCTGCTGCTCTACCCGCTATTAAAGAAACATAGGTCCCCGATGGCCTGACGCTCGATACGAAAGGAAATCTATACGTCGGGTGTGGAGATGGGACCGAGGTGCGTCTACTATATGATGGAGGAATTATCAGGCTGGAAACGATTGGGCTCAGGTGTTCAACCTCAACGGCACCCTGCTCGGTAAAGTTTTCCTGGGCGTCGGTTCTGCCAATATGATATTCGCCGGCGCGAACAGGCTTGTCATCATGGCCGACACCAAAATCTATCTGGCGGAAATCGCCGCTGAGGGTGTTAACCTGAATCTACCTGTATAATATCCACTCTACACTCGAATTCAAATATAACTATAGCACGCGTTCTTGTTGATTCCAACCCGCGCCCACCAATGGCTTCAGCGCCATTGAATTTATCCAGATTATTGATCGCCTACTTTAACCATCATCCACTACCCAGAGATGTTGTAGCAAGGCTTCGGAGGCCACCGTGAGTACGAGCTAATTGCAGTGGGATTTTCATGCGAGAAAGGTTATTCGGAGGCCCGGTACTTATGGCGAGTATCTAAGTGAACATCTGTACCACATTAAGCACTTTTCGTCTTCCGCAGTAATCTTCATGACATCTCTAGCTGCCTTCATAAACTCTATGCCCTCTGCACTCGAGAGTTGAGCCATCTGTTTGGCGTCTATGTTGAATGTTATGAAACAGAGCATAGCATCCTCAGCTATCCTCGCATTAAGCAGCGTGACTTGAAGTCAGGAATGAACCGTGGGTCAAATATGATCCTGACACAAAATGGATGTCTATGAATTGAAAATGTATATATTGTCAAGCACGCACTTGTCTTGAAATCGTTCTCCCGCTTCCTGCGAGTGCCACTCCAACGCGAGGATTTCGAAGGGGATTAACGCTATATCCATCATAGTATTATATTTGGCGAGCGCTTTCGCATGAGACGATCACCATCCCAGTCTAAAGTGGTGCGCTGCGGGATCCATGGCCGCCCTAAGGCGGTGGTGGATCGTTTAAGTCTCGTGTTCGAGGCAGCTTTGCGGAACGCGGGGCCGCCAGAGCGCTGTCGACGGGGATGAGGTTCGAATCAAACAAGCGAAAGACGACATAAAACATACGCTTCCTTGGGCTTCGACATACTTGATATGGAGAAGACTTTAGCGTCGGGCGCGGGTCCTTGTAGGGGTTCGCGATCACGTGCCAGTGTGCCACCGCGCCTGCACCGCGTATCATTGTCATACGACAAGCATGTGCGCGTTATTGAGCTCTTTCTCCCATAATAGAGCAGCGGGATCCTCCTACCGCCACTTGATTGGATATTTAAGCGTACATTTGTACCACATCAAGCTCGATTGCTCTTCTTCGGTAAACTCCATGACCTTTTTGATTGTCTTCATCACTTCTGGACCCTCTGGCCCACGAAGAGTATCCATAGTCCGCGTGTCCTTGTTGAATGTTACGAAACAGACTAGATCGTCTTCTTCTCGGGCTTTCACCAGTTTCCAGTCCGGGATGAACTTTGGGCTAAATTGGATCCTGGCACAAGATAACGGTAAGGGACTGTGAAAAGAACCAATGACGATGAAGTATTACTTGTCTCTGAATTCATTTTCCACCTCGGGCGAGTACCAGCGCCGCACCAGGATTTGACTGGCGAGACTGGACAGATCCATGCTGGTGTTATACTTCGCAAGCACTTTCTTGTGGGAGATACGCAGCCCAAGCCCATAAAAGGGTGCGTCGCGAGATCCACGACCCCCCCACACGGCTGGTGGCTCGTTCAAGGGTCGTGTAAGAGGCGGATCCCCAGAAGAGGACCTGCCGACGCAAATAAATTTCCAAACCAGCCAAGGGAGCGGCAAGAGGAGAACATACGGTGGCTTTGACGTCATTGAGATTGGGGAGAACTCACCGTTGCCCCTGAAAGCCCACGGTGAAGTTATGGGTCCTTGAAGTTGTGGTGGTTCAGGTTCAAGTTGGTTGAGGGTCACGTGTCGGCCGAGAGTGCGGCGAAGCGGGAGTTGCTCAGTTGGGATAAATCGAACGGAGGATCGGGTCGCGAGATTCCGCCCTGTGCACACATATGCGTCTCGAATTCAGTCAGTTTTGCTGTACGTTTCCTTATTGCATTTTGGCTGGTTGTCTCCCAAACCGGTGTACTATATATTGACTATTCGAAGGATGGCCAAAAGGTCTGCCTTATGTATCTGGCGAGCACGCCGTCCGACTCGGGCCTCGGGAGACTCCCACTTTCACCGATTCCGTAGACCTAGTTTTTGGGTAAGAATCTGGGAGCCATCTCGAGTTTGGGTATTCCGAGTATCTCCAGATCACGGGCTTCGTTATGTCGCACTCGGTACGCGACCTGGAGGTTCCACCCTGAGTTTCCGCCCCCCTTGTCGGTTCCATGGTCGTAAACATGAATGAGTTCCAGCCACGGCGCATTTTTTACAACTCGCGCCATGTACCAAGTCAATGCATGGAACACATCGACGCAGATCGATGTCCCCAGCACGTTGCGCCGTGCAGCGCTTCGCCGGGCCGGGATCCACGGAGTTAGTCCGCCAGCGTGCAAATTGGGGTACGCGTTGCTCAGATGTAGGGTGTGCAAAGCCGACAAGGATCGAAAGACTTTCTCGAATTTATCCTTCATGAAACAAGATGAGTAAAATTCTGGTCGAAAAGTCGTGTGCGGAACATACGATATGAATGGGCTGTGCCCTAAATTGTGAATGCTGCAGAATGAGCTCCAAGGAGGACAATCGGGGGGCCAGGATAGCAATTATCCCCAAGATTGATGAGATCCGGCCCGTCTTCACAACCTCCAGCTCAAGCTCGGCCACTTCCCAGTCTCTCAAAGACCCCCACGATGCAGGTTGAGTTACAGTAAATGATTCTAGCTTCGCTGAAGATTGAGACACGCCTGCATCGCGCAATGCGTCTTGAAACCGGCGGGTGAATGGTACATCAACCACATTGTCCCTCCAGTAGCGGCCTGCATTCGTGAATTTGATCGTGCGCAACTGTGTATGGCGCCGCGCGAAACTGTGAAGCCAACTGTCGATAGAGCGTCGACTGATGTTGCTCTGGTGGCACATCTTGAGATCGAAGTGCTCAAGGTCAGGCAGGTCAATTGGGAAGGTGGCAGCAGAAAATTC